TCTACATGCTTGCATATTGTGCACTGGGGTATCAACGTGTTATGGAATTTGTGTGGCTAGCGACATTCTCTCATGCAATAAGTAGTTTATCTCTCTCGGCTCTCGGTGCAGCCTGCTTGTGAGATCTTTTGAACTCTCGTCAGGAAAACAATCGGCATGAATATATCTGCGTATAGCAGCAAAGAATTTTCACCGTCAGAACCGATATAACATGAAGATATTTGGGATATTTTGAACATTTGCTTTATTTTATATTTGATCAGTTTGGAGATAATCCAATAACCCATACTATAACATTAACAAATTTTAGTCCGGCGATCAAGCATAAAAAGAGCAGAGTTGATGTACCAGGAGCATTTAACATTGCTAAGTAGATCTGATATAAAATGAACAGGTTGTCAATCTAGTTCTGAAAGGACAATTGAAATAAGAGAAACTATATTTTCTGCTGGAAAACTCCACGAGCTTTACATTTTCTTTACTGTGTTTGTGTATGTGTGAGTACGTGTGTGTGTGTTTGTGTATATGTGAGTACGTGTGTGTTTGTGTATGTGTGAGTACGTGTGTGTGTTTGTGTATGTGTGAGTACGTGTGTGTTTGTGTATGTGTGAGTACGTGTGTGTGTTTGTGTATGTGTGAGTACGTGTGTGTGTTTGTGTATGTGTGAGTACGTGTGTGTGTTTGTGTATGTTATGAGTACGTGTGTGTGTTTGTGTATGTGTGAGTACGTGTGTGTGTTTGTGTATGTGTGAGTACGTGTGTGTGTTTGTGTATGTGTGAGTACGTGTTGTGTTTGTGTATGTGTGAGTACGTGTGTGTGTTTGTGTATGTGTGAGTACGTGTGTGTGTTTGTGCATGTGTGAGTACGTGCGTGTGTGTGCCTCATAATCACCTTGTTCCCCCGAATCCTCCACAGGTGATTGACCCCCCTGCCCCTGACGAAGACATTCTAGCTCCTTGCAGGGTGCCTGATCTCCAGGTGGCGGAGTTGTACGGCCTAGACGAAGGAGGCAGCATCCTCACCCTCATCTGGACTTCTCCTGGAGACGATCATGATGAGGGCACAGGTACCTTACTCAATTCCTATTATTATTGTTATCGTTATCATTATTCCTCAACTTTTCCTTCCTCTCCTTCTCCCTCTTTTTCTTTTATTTCCTCCTCTTATGTACCTTCATCATCGTAATTATCCTCTTCTTCCTCACCTTTCTTCATCTTTCTTCTCTTATATCTTTCCTTCTTCTTCGGCTTCTTCCTTTTCTTATTATTTTTGTTCTTACCCTTCTATTTGTTCTTCTTCTCTTTCCTCTTCGCCATCTTCCTCTTCTGCTTCCTCCTTTTCCCCCTTTTTCTTCTTTTTCTCATCACCATTTTCTTCCTTTTTATACTGTTTTTCCTTCTTGTTCTTCATTTTTTCTCTTTTTGTTCTTCCACATTCGTCTTCCCTCTCCACCTCCTGCCCTTTTCTTCCAAGTCTTCTTTTTCTCATTCTTCTTTTTCTTATCAGAATATACTTGAGACGTAAAAAATCGAGCAATCTCACTATATTGCAGATGATAGTAACTACCATCCTGTCATTTATCAAATTATCCATCATCCCCATCCTGTCATTTATCAAATTATCACGCTCTCCCATGGTCACCTACGCATTCTCACGCTCCCTCCCGTTCTCCCACGACCACCTACGCTCCCTCCCGTTCTCCCACGGTCACCTAAAAAACTCTTACCTTCTCCTATGTTCACCTATGCTTCTTCACGCTCTCCCACACTCACCTACGCTCTCTCCCCTGCCCACAGTGTCAGACTACACCTTCCGGCTAAGTGAGGTCCGCCCCGACCTCAGTAACAAAGGGTTCGACGAGGCCCCACCGAGCACCCTCCTGCACTTCGAGAGGGAGGCCCTGAACCAGAGCGGCGTCCTGGTTCCCTTCGGCTCCTCCGTCGCCTTCAACGTCACCTACAAGGGGGCGTTCACTTTCGGCACCGAGTACCTGGTGGCACTGAAAGCGAAAGACGAGGCTGGGAATGGAAGGTGAGATTAGTGTGCGTGTATGTGTGTTTTAACTTATATAAGATTTTTTTTTATGTTTCTGACGCTTTCCTTTTTTTCTTTTTCCCCTCCTCTCTCTCTCTCTCTTCGTCTGTCTCTTCTTTCTCTTCTCTCACCCCCCCCCCTTCCTTCCTTCCTCTCGCTCCTACTTTCTTTCCCCATCAGAAAACACAGTGTCCAAACATTATACCATAAACGTTTTCTCACGCCCTCAAACGTTTCTCTCTCTCCCTTACAGCCCTGTCTCCAACGTTGCCTCCTTCTTCCTGGACCAAAAGCTCGATCTTCCTTCATGGGCCGATGAACTGATAAAAACAATCAAGAAATCAAACGCAGAGTTTTTCTCGCAGTCGTGAAAGACCAAAGATAGGTAATGCAGAGGTTCTTGTCTCGCTGGGACAAGATGAATAAACAAGATAGATAAAATTATATTAATAAAACTAAAACGTTGACTATATTTCTTATCCAGGTGGTGAAACTATGAGGAAAGAAAGGGTTCCCGGTAGGTGTGCAGTGTTCGGAGAGGCAACGGGGCACCAAAATACAATGTGTTGAGGATTACATTTGTATTGACATCGTATTTCAGACAAAGAGTTCTAATCTAATAGAAAAAAACGGGCATATATATATATATATATATATATATATAATATTATATATATATATATATATATACATATATGTATATGAATATATATATATATATGTATTATATATATATATTGATATGCATATGCATATATATATATATATATATATATATGTTATATATATATATATGTATATATATATATATATGTATATATATATGTAATATATATATTAATATGCATATATATATATATATATTAATATACATATATATATTAATACATATATTACATATGTATATATACATATATGCATATAAATATATAATTATATAATATTATATATATATATATATATATGCATGTGCAAATATATGTAGAAAACACATAGATATATGTATATATATACACATATATGTATTATATATATACACATACACATATATACAAAAATATATATATTATATATTATATATATAATACACACACACACACATATGTGTCTACAAATATATGTATGTGTATGTGTGTGTATATATATGTGTATGTATATATATATATAATATATTATATATATTATAATATATTATATATATATATACATGTACATACACTTTTCAACACTTGCATGGACTAGATAATGGGCAGAGCTACTTCCCGAAGTCAGTGTGGAGGAACACTGGGCAATATCAAGGTCACGGACCTTGACTTTGCTGACGATGTTGCAATTCTGAGTCTCTGGGATCTCTGATAGCGGCTCTTGATGCACTTAGCAATGAGGCTTGTAGGTCTCCTGGATTAAGACCAAGGTACAGGATTTGCGGTGCCTGTAGGAGAACCTGTTCAGTCGATACGTGCTTGGGGCGAGGATGTTGAAGTCACGGAGAGTTTTACATACCTTGGCAGTGCAGTTCATGTTTCTGGGCTGTCAGACCATGAAGTCAGTAGACGGATTGGTCTGGCAGCAGAAGCCATGAACTCGGTCCACCAGAGTATATGGAGGTTTCGGTACCTATGCAGGTGGACTAAGTTACGTGTCTTCAAGGCCTCAAGTTTTGCTTTATGGAAGCGAACCTGGACGCTATCCAGTGCCTTGGAGTCATGTCTCAATGCCTTTTGAAACACGTCCCTGCGCCGGTTCATGAGGTACAGTTGGCAGGACCATCTGTCCAACCGACGACTCCACCATGAGACTGGCATGGGACCTGTTACCTACATAATCCGGGATCGCCAACTCAGGCTATAAGGGCACCTAGCTCTTTTCCCTATGGATGACCCTGTCCATCAGGTTGTCACTGTACGAGACAATCCTGCGTGGAGGCCTATGGGAAGACCGAGGACGTTGTGGCTTGGGCAACTCGACCAAAATTGTCGTGAAGAACTAGAGATGGGCCGAGGGCCTGCCTGGCGACTCGCCATGAGGTCCCCCGTGGAAGGAAGCGAAGGGTGGATGCGGCTATGAGCCCCCGTCGTCGTCGGCCCCTTTGATGACGATGATATATAAACATATATACATGTATACAGACACACACACACACACACACACACACACACACACACACACACACACACACACACACACACACACACACACACACACATATATGTATAATATATATACATATATATATATATATATATATATATATATATATATATATACATATATATATTGAAACGTGTGCGTACTTTGTAACTTTCTCAGGCGGGCGAAGACAAATGCACAAATGTAACTTAACACTTCTTTATTTATCTTCTCACCACAGGAAGGCAGGGGGTAAATTTGGAAAAAGACGTCGCCAATGCTTTTCGGGACGAAACTAGATTCGTTCCATTTCTATTGTTTTGGTTTGGTTGATTCTGGTGTTCGTTTCCATTGGAAATGACTAGATTGTCTTTTCCATACCAGAGTCGCACCACTCTTGATATCATCCATGTGCACAATGGAAATCTCGTTCTCTGCTGTAATCACGGTACCGATTAAGTCACTATATTGTTTATATTGTGACTTTATATAGTGCAACCCCCTATGGGGGGCTGCCGCGACCCAACCCCTGCCCAGGAAAACAAAGAATCCTCCACGTATTCCGGCATGAGAGAGCGTCGGACAGACTCGGCATCGGGCAGTCCCGCATGTCGGTCGTAGGTACGAAAATTACACACTGCAGGGGGCGGTGCCCCATGCGACCCCCCCCCCCCCCGCCCAGGAAAACAAAGAATCCTCCACGTATTCACGGCAAGAGAGCGTCGGACAAAGTCAGCATCGGGCGTCTCCACACGCCGTTCATACGCACACGAAGCACTGTACATCTAGTCATTTCAGTGAAAATAAACCTAAAACATACCTATGCAGAGAAGGGTCCGGGGTGAGGGTCGTCCATATCAGTGGAGTGGCTTGCGGGAGCGGAAGCGCCGGAGAGGCCTGTGTGAGCACGAGTGACGCGACGGCCGCTCGCAGGGCACTTCAGAGGGTAGCCCTCCGTGTTCACGTTATAGTTTCAAGCTAGGCTCATCGTCTTCAAAATAATTTCTTATAACTTGGAATGGTTTGATACGACATCCTACACACATCCTACAATTAAATAACTACGTTATTATTAATTTTCGAGACGTTTATTTAATGAAAAGTGATTGATAATTAAACTTCTCCCAGGCTGTAATGTTAGTTTTGGTCGACTCAGTGGTGACGCCTTTTTCCAATAATACCGGCTGGGGATAATGCATGTTTACTATGCCTCTAAAAAATAAACATAACCATCGTGGCAGCACAATCAATCGTTCATGCGTTCAGAAGCACACTAATATGGGGTTCACGTAAACTTATTTCACTTACATGCACATAGAGGGTAGAATAAGTCACTGGCGTCACTGCTGCTCCTTACCGGGATCGAGCCTTATTTCAATCACCGAATTTTCGCCTTAAGCAAGAGCGATGCAACAAGGATTTCACTTGATACTAAAGTCCACGTTCTCTTTCGCTCTTCTGTCATACGAGTTCCTCATGACACTCCACAGGACTCCTACTGCTATCAGAAAAGCCTCGTACTTCTTGATCTTTCCGTCCTAACCGCCATGCCCTGCGTCGCTTCTCTCCTTTCGTGAGCTTCGAGAAGCGTCCCCCAAACAAACGAATATCAACATGCGCATACGTAGCAATATATATATATATATATATATATATATACACACACACACACACACACACACACACACAACACACACACACACACAACACACACCACACACACGCACACACAACCACACACACATACGCACACACACACAAACACACCACACACACACACACAACACACACACACACACACACACACACCCACACACACACACACACACACACACACACACACACACGACAAATGCAAGAAAATGAGGGAAAAAAGCATCTCCTTTGGAAAAGATTCAGAAGGCATAGATCTCAGGCAGCATATGAAAGATATAAAGTAGGAAGAAATGAGTATACCCTAACCATGAGAGAGGCGAAATTAGACTTTGAAAAGGATATAATCAATTAATGTACAAGTCAACCAAAACTCTTCTTTAACTACATAAATAGTAAAACTAAAAGCATGGATCAAATTGCGCCATCAAAGACAATAACATTATATATTCTAAGGAGGAAATTTGTGAAATCCTAAATGAGAAATTTCAGTCAGTGTTTGTTCAGGATCCATGCTTTGATATGGCAAATACCCATACAAACGTAAACATCGAAAATATCACCCTCAAAAAGAACGAAATAAAAGATCTACTAAAAGGATTAGACAAGACCAAAGCAAAGGGACCAGATGAAATTTCTAACTGGGTTCTTAGGGAATGTGCCGAAGACCTGTGTACTCCTTTATTGTTAATATTCCAAAATTCACTAAGACAAGGTAAACTACCAAAAAGTTGGAAATTCGCAAATGTTACACCCTTATATAAGAGCGGCGACAAACAAAACCCACTAAATTATAGACCAGTTTCATTAACTAGTGTAGTATGCAAACTGCTTGAAAAAATAATTAGAAAATAATGGGTTGAAATGCTTGAAAAACACGAAATGATATCAAATAAACAATTTGGTTTTAGGGAAGGAAGGTCGTGTGTAACAAATCTCCTCTGTTTTTATGATAGAGTATCTGAAATATTACAAGAAAGAGACGGCTGGGTGGATTGTGTATTTAGACTTTAAGAAGGCTTTTGATAAGGTGTCTCATAGAAGACTACTATGGACATTAGAGCACCTAGGTGGAGTGAAAGGCAACCTACTCGCATGGATGAAAGACTTTCTTCATGAAAGACAAATGAGCACAGTAATTAGAGGAAAGCATTCTACATGGCGACGAGTAACCAGCGGAGTGCCTCAAGGATCGGTGTTGGCGCCGATTATGTTCACAATTTTCGTCAATGATTTAGAGTCAAACATAAGCCCAGGTAGTTATCTGAATATGTTTGCAGATGACGCAAAGATACAAAAGAGGATAACACAACGTCTCATGCCAATGCCTCCAAAGTGACATCGAGAACTTATTCACGTGGAGTTGTACATGGAAAATGGAATTCAATACCAATAAATGCCACGTAGTCAGATTTGGAGAAAGTAGAAATCGCCCACTATTCCAATACAAATTAGGGGACGCAGTATTAGACACAGCTGACAGGGAAAAAGATCTTGGGATAATCATAAATAGAAACCTAAATCCAAATGACATATAAATGAAAAGGTCCACAAAATGTTAGGACTGATTGCCAACATGAAGAGGGCATTCGTGTATGTGGACGAAGATATGGTAAAGAAGATCATTAAAGCAATCATAAGATCAAGTCTTGAGTACGGTGCAGTGGTATGGAGTCCACACT